GATACTCTCGGTAGCTTGCCGGGCTCTCCGAGAGGGGCGGAGGAATCGAACTCAGGTCGGCCATGTTCGCTGCGTGCAAGGCAATGGAATAAACTGCAACTGACACCAACCAGTCTGGCCCTCGTTTCCTTCCTTTACCTGCCCACTGCCATTGACCTCCCTAAGGTGGGGGAACCGGCGTGAGACTACCGAAAGCGGGCGGTGGGAGAGATAGACTGCTGCAGGGTTTTTTGTGTGTTTACACGCAGATCCCTTTTCTATTTTAACTGTCCTCCTCCATCCTTCCATTTCTGGCAGACTTCCTTCCATGGACCAGACTTCCTGGTCCTTGTTTATGCTGACTGTAGAGATTAATCTCACAGTATGTTTTTTATATCCCACAGATATGTAAAAGCTTTCCCATCTGTTTTTCTCCTTTCACTCAGCATGATATTCTACATGCAATACCATTTCAGGGAATATACCACAGGAGTCCCAAAACACACAGCAGAAATGCTATCTGCACTTCTATGTTCATTGCAGAACTATGCACAATAGCCAGAATCTGAAAACTACCTTAGTGCTCAAAAACAGATGACTGGATGAAGAAACTATGGTACATCTACACAATGGAATACTACTCAGTCACCAGAAAAAAGTCGTGAAATTTGCTTATAAATGGATGGACATGTAGATCTTTATTTTTGATATAACACTATTATTAAAAATACTTGTACGATGTGAGAAAACTAAGACACAAAAAGGTCAGCTACCACAGGGTTCACCCTGTAGGTAAGTGGTACATCCAGGATTCAAACTCAGGCAGTCAACTTTGAAGATCTTTTGCTGACCATGACTCTACAGATGCTTGCTTGGTGATTGGTTTATATTGTGGTTTATATTATGGTGATTGGTTTATATTATGATTTATATTATGAATTCTTATATGTTTGTTGGACAAGGAGAAGAGAAACACACCCATGGGATTCCGCTCTTGGGTGGGTCATCCTGCTAAGAGGGTATCTGTCCTAGAAGAAGCATCCACTTAGGGGAAGAACTCTACCCCTATTGACTGTTACCACACCTATGTGTAATTTTTACCTCAACCCCTCATGCTGGGGGATATAACTAGACTGGAAGAGTGGGCTGGGGGATCAGGATCCAGACTACAGAAGGAGAAGGAGAAAGGGGATCAGAATCCAGACTCCTGTTTGCACTGTCTCATCCCTTGTATCCAAGTAGCATGAGTTGTTCAGGTTATCATCATTACATGATTCCATAAACAATCCTCCCTAGTTTTTGAGATAAACTGTTGCACAAACCATTCACAGAGAAAGAGTTCTGGGGAAAAAATTAATGATACAAAAAAGTAATCATTAAAGAAATGATCAAATCAAAATGTATACCTTTTAACATATAATAATGATGCTGGTTTCTGGTCAACATTTCTCAATTAGTAGTCTTTTGCTATCCAGATACACCAACTCTAAATACTTGAAAGTTGTAACTGGGCATTCCATGTCTATAGGCTTTCTATAACATGGAATACAGGACATACCTACTGATTAGATGAAGGATTAAATAAGTAAATGGGGAAATTTGGGGACTGGGGTGCCACTTTCTAAAAGGGAAATTAAGGCACTCCACTCCGGGCTACCCAGATCCCAACTCTGTTGCATCACTTCACCTTTGTATTTTGGTCTTTCAACTCTTTCACTCTGGGGAATCCCTCAATATTCTTAGAATTAGAATCCTTCATAAAACTATTTCACTTGAAGAAATATGAAACTTATACTTCTGTTCATGTATATTTCCTGGCTTCATTTATATGTTTAGAAAAACAAAAGAGGTATCAGTTAGTAAGGTGGCAGGTTGACATATCTGAGTCATGAGTTGCTTAAGGAAATTTCATTCAGTGAAGAATCACATAAAGACAATGATCCTGACAGATCACACACGTGGTCCTGGTGGACAGTACGTCCTATCTAGTCAGTTTGTGTAATTATACCTGTAATTATACTACTTCTTGTCCAAATCCCCTAATGATACTTTAAGAACATAACCTTGGAGGAGACCCTGAATAATCCCACTCCTGGGCAGAGAAGAGTGTCGTGTTTCTTAGGCTGATCCGGTCAACTTGATTCATTCAATGCTGTTGACTTTCATTCCTCTCTAAGAACTGCTTCTTCAGGGCAGATTTTTTAAAAATTTTTATTAGTGAAACACCATGAGGTACTTTAAACCCAAATAATTCTAGTTTTTCTCCTCAAAGAAAGGAATATAACTGCTCTGGATATTTTAAGTCAGAGGACATTATATATCTCTGCCTTCTACCTGAATACAAGTAGAGAGGTGATTCTAAGAGTACGGTTTTCCTCCTTGGTACCATCCCATGGTGTTGACATGAATTAAGCTTTCCAAAATATATCTGAGGTGTTTGCTGAAGGCAAAGATAACATGAAATGTGCAGCAGCAAAAGTAAATATAAGTGTCTGGAGTTTTTTGTTTGTTTGGGGGCACACACCTGGCAGTGCTCAAGAGTTACCCCTGGCTCTGCACTCAGGAATCACTCCTGGTATCCTTGGGGACCATATTGGATGCTGGGGGTTAAACCAATGTCAACTGCATGCAAGGCAAGAGCCCTACTGACTGTACTATCTCATTGCCCCAAAATTGATCACATGGTTATAAATTTTATCTGTCACCATTTGATCTGATACAGAAAAAATGTATTATGGCTTGACTCTTTTTAAATCATTCTACTCTTTTTAAATCAAAACTACTCCAGCCTTACCATCCCAATAAATATACTGAACACCCTGAACAAACATGATGACCTCTTAGTAACTGTATTACAAACCATAATGCACAAAAGGAGAGAGAGAGAGAAAGAGAGAGAGAGAGAGAGAGAAGAAAAGTGCCTGCCATAAAGGCAGGCTGGTGAGGGGAACAGGGTCGGGGACTGTGGGAGTGAAATTGAAGACATTGGTGATGGGAAATGTACACTGGTGGAGGGATGGGTGTTGGATCATTGTATGACTGAAACCAAATTATGAGCAGCTTTCTAATGGTCTATCTCATGGATATTCAATATAAATTTTTTAAATCCTTTACTATAACATTAGGGCTGGAGTGATAGCACAGCTGTAGGGTGTTTGCCTTGCATGCAGCCAACATGGCCGACCTGAGTTCGATTCCTCTGCCCCTCTCGGAGAGCCCAGCAAGCTACCGAGAATATCTCGCCCGCACGGCAGAGCCTGGCAAGCTACCCGTGATGTATTCGATATGCCAAACACAGTAACAACAAAGTCTCCAATGGAGACGTTACTGGACCCTCTGAAGCAAATCAATGAACAACGGGAGGACAGTGACAGATTACTATAACATTGTGATTTACAAAGTTGTTCATAATGCAGTTGTTTCATGACATCCAGTGTTTCAACACCAATCCTACCACCAGTATAACCTTCCCTCCACCAACATCCCCAATTTCCCACCAACTCCCCAAGTCCACCCTCTTAGCAGGGACAAACAAATTTACTTCATATTGCTTGCTATAACGAAAGGGCAAATAAAATTATCAAAACCTAGATCAATAAAAGTCAATTTGTGATGACCGTTATAGCTCACAATAGTGTTACTAAAGTCATTGTCTGAGGAATTTACTGATCTGGTTGGTGCTTGTTGAGCCCCTCTATGTTATTCTTTCTGCTCATTGAGTTTGGACATCTCTACAAAGCTTTTCCATCAAATTTTATGTGCTCTTAATATGAGACTGACACCCAAAGACAGTAGACAAAGAGGCCAGGAATATTGCCCCATAGTTGGAAGCCTGTCTCATGAGCTGGGGGAGAAGGCAGCTGTAATAGAGAAGGGATCACTAAGACAATGATGGTTGGAGGAATCGTTCAGGATGGGAGACGTGTGCTGAAAGTAGATAAAGGACCAAACATGATAACTTCTCAGGATGTGTATTGAAAGCCATAATGCCCTAAATTAGAAGAGTATGGGGGAATTTTCTGCCATGGAGACAAGGGGAGGTTTGTAAAGGGTGGGGGGGTACACTGAGGACAGGTGGTGGAGAATGTGCAATGGTGGAAAGATGGGTGTTTGATCATTGTATGATTGAAACTCAAACATGAAAACTTGTAACTGTATCTCATGGTGATTCAATAGAAAAATTGATGTGCTCCTCCTAGCCGTCAGTACTATGAAATTTCAAGGTATTGTTGAACTGCATATGTGGCCATGTGCTCCAGGACCTGTGAAGCTGGGACAATTTTGGTGATCGGGCAGCTTGATGTGCTTCAGTTGTGAAGCTGGGCCATTTCTATGCCAGAGAATTTCAGGTGTGGGTGGGAGCTTCGAAGCCTTCCAGAGGGTGGGGAATCTGACCACCCCCATTTTGAGAACGCCCTAGAGTTCTCAGTCTGGAGACCAGTAAACCTGGGACATTTCGGCAGTTTGGTGTTCTTCTTGAGATTAGTTGTGAAACTAGGCTGGTTTTATGCCAGAGGATATTTAGTCTGGATGGGGCTGCTGGGTCTTTTGGCAGGTCAGGAATCTGTCCACCTTAATTATGAGTAGGCCCAAGGGTTCTCAGCCTGGAGACTGATTAACCTGTGACTATTCAGCAGCTTGGCATTCTTTTTCTAACTCACTTTTAATTATATGCAGGATGCTTTTGTTTTCATCTTATTTGTTTTTTATTGATTAATATTGTGTGGTTTACAATACTATTAATAATGGTTTCTCATGCACATAATTCCAACACCACATCCATCACCAGTGTACCCACCTCACTTACCCTTTCAAACTACCCTGTTCAACTCAGTTGTGTAGATCAGTTCTCCTAGTATGTTGGCTTTGGGCAATTGTTCTTTGCTTCCTGTATATCTTTAAGTCTGGCATATGAGAGAGATAATTCCATTTTGTTGTATGATTTTGTTCTTTCTTAGAACCGCATTGTTGTATGAATATACTTTCAGTCGGAGACGCAGAGATAAGACACTTGAGAGAAATGAATAAGCATGGAGGGTCATGGCATCATTCAGACTGATGACAAAGGGTGACTGCCAAAGACCACCTTTTATTTTATTTTCTATCAATCACATCTCAATGACTTGACCATGGCAGAATGTTAGGACACAGATGAAACATATCTCATAAAGACACCAAAGCATATATTGTCCTGCCATGTCCCTGAAATTAACACTACAATCTCCAGGGAGGAATGCAAGGTTGAGCATGTAGGCTCTGTGCTTTCATAAGTCACGTCCTCCTCACATCTGGGGTCTGTAATAAGCATGAAGTAAAAGTGTTTACATTACAAAGCCAAGCTAGGTCTGAGATTTGTGAGAAGGGTAGGGCTGCTTCTTTCTACTGCCAGTATACTTAGAGTAATACCAAGGCCACTAAGGAAATAAATGTTAATTTATTAACAGGAATCAGCGACAAAGAAGGGAGATAATAGAACTGGCAAAGATAAGGAATCAGGTACCAGGCAGTTAGAAAGCAGGAAGGGAGAAGGCATACAGGGATATAGTAAAGGAGATAGGCCTGAACCCATTCAATCCCTGGTTTGAGACAGCTCCCCAGACAAAATTGAGCATACCCTGGAAGGCCTTTGAGCTGTGGTTAGTTTAGCTTGAGGCTCCTGATTACTTCAAGAATGATCCCTATAGTCTGTACAGCACTTCATCCTAATACCTGAGATCCACCTTAAGGCCTGGTCGGCTGAGTGTCACCAGAAGTGGTCCCTCAACTTTCTGATCTTTGCATCAGAGATTCACTCCCACTCCTACTCCCCAGACCCCACACTCCATACACACACCAAAAAGAAGAAAAAAAGTAAATGCGCAAAGGGGCTGGTGACAGTAGACAGAGTAGCAGGTAGGAGGCCCTCACACCCATCAGTGACCCCAAGTTGTTAAGGGAGTTTCTTGAGGTAGAGGTGGATTCCAGTCTCTGAACTCAACACGACTCTGGATCTGGGAATGGGTATATTGGAAGGATCAGGAGCCAGCTCAAAGTGGAGCAGGGTCAACGCCACAGCCACTTTCATCTCATTCATGGCAAACTGCTTCCCGATGCAGTTCCTGTGAGGAGGCAGAACCACATATGTAATGGTCTCAGAGATGATCTTGACAGTCGGACATCTATCCAGAGATGATGGGGACCTATACTAAGGGCCTCTTTCATATGGTTCCTGCTCCAGTACCTTCTACCCCTCACATGCCTGGAATCAGGCTCTGAGGCCTGCTCCATCTCCCCAAGCTTAGGAATGACTGACTCTCCTTCAGGCCATGCCTGAAAATTTCCCTCTCTCAGCAGGTCTTAAAGCCAATGACAGAAAGCAGTCTCCAATTCCAGGGTCAGGTGGTCTCCCAGTATTCCTCAGGACTCTGCTCAATCTTTCCATGGCAGTTCACAGTGGGGAGTAAGACAAGGCACTATGAAGGTACAGGGCGCCACTCTCAGGTCTGCACCATCAAAGAATATCCAAAGATATTTATCACATGGAGAAAACTAGATGGAGTTTGAGTCAAGAGTCTGGACAAAAACTGGAAGCCTATGGAGGAGCCCCAAGACACCGACCCTCAACCAGTTGCACCATAAGCTTCATTAAATTGTCCAGAAAACTGCACCCCCATGCACTGACTTAACCAGATTCTGTGTCTTCTACTCATGAGAAATGCCCCTGATTTCCTTCCTATCCTCACGAGGGCTTCTCTTTCCCCTGCCTTCCCAGTGAAGCACAGCTAGCTCAGATCCCCCCAAGGCCCTCCAAGCTTTGTCTGTCTACAAGCCTTGTTTGTAGACATGTCCTACCATCTCAGTGGGTATCCATCCCTCCTGTGATGTTGCCTCACTCAACCCTTCCCTGATCAGGTCCATTTTTTTTGCTCAGCTCATGTTGACATGGCCAGCATTCTTCCTTCCACTTCTGACACAACCTCAAGGCTCAGTTCAGTGTGACAGTCTGTCCTCAGTCCTCTGCCTCTGCACCTCTTCGTCTCTAGATCCCAACCACCATTCAGAACACATTCTTGTCCAGAGCCCAGGAAGTGCCAGACACAGTAGCAGCCAACAATCTGCTCACGAATGAGTGAATGACGAGAGAAGAATGAACAAAGTCTATGCTGGTCCCAAATTCTGAATTTTGTGGGCACGAATGGTGTTTTGAGCTGAGTACCCTTCCCTAATCCAGGAATGGGTACATAGAGAGAGACTTAAGACATACTTTAAAATTTGAAAATAGTCAACAAAATTGAAAGCAAAATTCAAAATAAAATAAAATAAAATTATGATCTGACTCAGGCATAGAGCCCCAAGCTGTCCCCTGCACTTTCCTGCTAGCAACAATTTGGTGAGCAGATGCCTGGAGAAAACTTAATCCTGGGATAAACCAATGCCTAGAGCCAACTCTGGAAGAACAGTTTATTGGAAGCCTTGTTTGTAGACAAGGACTCTCCAGTTGAAAAACTGTCAGATACAAATCCAAAGTCACATGTTTGAGCTGGAGAGATAGCTCCAAGGGCTGAATGTAGGAGAGCCTGGCTTGATCCTCAGTACCACATAGTCCAATGGTATTTGCCAGGAATGCCTCACCAGTAGAGTCTGAAGAAGACCCTGAGCAATAATGGATACTGGCTCCAAAACCAAAATAAAATAAAAACAAAAGACTACATTGTAGGGGCTGGAGGAATAGCACAGCGGGTAGGTGCTTGCCTTGCACGCAGCCGACCTAGGTTCGATTCCCAGCATCCCATATGGTCCCTGAGCACCGCCAGGTGTAATTCCTGAGTGCATAAACCAGGAATAACTCCTGTGCATCGCGGGTATGACCCAAAAAGAAAAAAAAGACTACATTGTAGTTGTAAGTTCCTGGGTGTCATCCTTTAACCAGCTCATTGGGGCAACTGTGGAGGGTTTCATGGAGTGTTGGACAGGTAAGAGTCTAGCCAAGAGTAATGCTGGTATGTGTTACTGTGAATCCCACATGCCCTTTCCTCATAACAGTCCATAGTCCCTAGTAATCTACTCTTGGTCACATTGGATTATTAGATTGGAGATGACTGTGGCTCCAGACTTCTTCAGATAAAGATTTTGCCAAATGAAAAATGTTCATAATTACACACACAGACTGATAGGCAGGCAGATCTTTTGGGGAGCTGTGAACTGAGATGACACCATCAGTGTGATTTTTCCCAATGCTCCTGAGAGTTTCCAGTAAGGCTTCCAATGTCAGCACAAGGGCATACTGGGAATCTCAACACCCCAACATCACTGCCCTCTGGGGGTGGGTACAGGCCACCTGAGGCTCTGGGCACAGTGAATCATCGTGATGGAGAAAAGTAATTATTGGAGGTTAATTCTGAAACAATCTATTTTGTAAAGTGACAAAGCACAGGAGGACACAGGCCTTGGTTCTGCTTTTGCTGCTGTGCCTGTTCCTTGGTTCTTGTTAAAGATCAGCAGGGTGAACTTAGGGACACCCTGAAGGGTCACCTTCTCTGATATAGCCTTCCCTCCATGACACACAAAGTTCCTTCTGCAGACACCACATGTGGGTGCAGGAAGTCACTTTCAAGTGAGTGCACCCAGTAACAACCCCTCCCTGCCAATTCCAAGGAGCTCACCTGGAGCCCCCTGAGAAGGGCAGGAAAGCGTGGCTGTGCCGAGCAGCACCTGGTGCAAACCGAGAAGGGTCAAACACCTGCAAAGAACAGAGACAGAACAGGTAGGCCACGAAATCTTCAGTCCAGGTGGGGTTGGGCTTCGGTAGCAGAGAGATGGAGTGAGGTAAGGAGACCCAGGGCAACCCACTACTCCATGTCATACCTCTGGGTTGGGCCACACATGTGGGTTGTGGTGAAGACCATAAATGGATAGGGACACTGAGAGTCCTGGGGATAGGAAAAAGAGAGAAGACTGAGCACACCAATTCAGGCACCAGCACCCCATCCTGTAGTGTGCGTGGGTATGCACAAAACCTTGTAAAATCTCTAGAGGATGCTGTGGAAGGGGGTATTAAGCGAGGAGCTTACTGCTGAATCCTGGCAAGGCCTGTGTGCACATCTCAGGAGTTGACCAGGACATAGATGTGGAAGTAAAAAGTTTTACTTTTTAAAAACTCCTACAACATTCCTCTTTGTAATGGCTCCTTGAACCTTAAGGGAATAAGCATTAACTCATTTTTTCCTCACAAAAACAGCCTCCAAGAAAGATCTTTTTTCAGGTGAGGCTGCTGAACTCAGAATAATCTGAACGACTTGCTGTTAAACACACAGCTGGTTCAGCAGAGGTGGGTTCAGACCCAGGCATGTGAGTGTGTGTGTGTGTGTGTGTGTGTGTGTGTGTGTGTGTAGAGGGGTGGGGGCATTGGTAGAGGGAACGGGGAGTGTCTCCCATCAGTACAAGGATCTTAGGTCTGTTCATCTTACCCAAGCAGTGAGTTCCTGCTCCCTCATTGCTTGTAAACCCTGAAGAGAGAATTTCATCTTCCCTCATTTTCTCTGACTACCCAGTCCTTCCAGATTAGAAAAATGAACTTTTTAGAGTTGAATTACCCAGGCCACACTTAGAGGCCAAAACCAGTTGATAGAGCTTTCTGATAAAAGTGTTGTGGCAGTGTTTCATAGACCTCATTCTAACTACAAAGTATTGATTCTTGAGGGGAAGCAGCCCCAAGAGCTCAGGACTTTTCTGACCCCGTGACCCGCTCTCCTTCCACTATGCTGCTTCTCAGGGAGTGCACCAGGAGCAGGCTTACCTTTGGGTAGGGAGCGCCCATCAGGGAAGGTGACAGGTGAGCTGAGCTGTCTGCTCACACTGGGCACGGGTGGGTAGAGACGCAGTGCCTCCTTGATGCACATGGTGGTATAGGGCATCTTGTCCATGTGGTCCCTGAAAGGAGCATTCCCAGAGTGAACAGAGCTGCCCTGGGCTCCACTCCCAAGGCTTGCCCACAGCTGGCACTCACCAGGTGATGGAGGTGCCATCCCCCAGCAGGCTCTGGAGCTCCTCCCGGCACTGCTGCTGGTGCTCGGGGTGCGTGGCCAATGCATAGAGGATCCAGGAGATGCCGCTGGCCGTGGTGTCGTGACCCTCGAACATGAATGTGTCCACTTCTGCCCGTAGGTCCTTGTCAGACAGGCCTCTCCCGTCCTCTGACTGTGGACATGGAGAGAGAGTGGGTTGGCCTCTTTGTCTGTGGGTGTGTGGGCACAGTCACGACTTTCTCCACACTCATCCTTCTCCAGTCACCACCCCCCACTCATCCCTTCACTCTTACCCTCCTCCAAACTCATTCTCCTTTATTCACCCTCCCCCACATCCACCCTTCACGCAAACACATACCCTCTTCGACTCACCCCCTTTCACTCACCCTCCACACTCTTCCTTCACACTCACCCTCCTCACTCACTCCCTCAGTATTCACCCCTCCACACTCACCCTTCCATACTCACCCCCCCTCCACTTACCCTGGCAAAAAGCAGGATGTCCAGGAAGTCCAGATGCCTCTTCTTTCTGATCTTTTCCAGCTCACTCTCGTCCTGCAGGTGCAACTTCCTCTGCTGGATCACACGGTCTGTCAAGACAGAAGTTGCAGCAACATTTGATTGCTCTGCAGGCCCCAAGTCAGTGTCCACAGGAGCCTAAATACCTCCCTCAGAGTGTATGCAGTGAATAGGAGAAGTGCAGGAGTGCAGGTGCACAGCAGGTGAGAGCTATAAGACATATTCAACATTCCCCATGGGAAGATATTGTAACAGCATGTAGCCCAGCACCTGGCAAACTCATGTCCTCTAGGTCTGAGTGGAGTGTAAGGTTCCAGCTGTGACTGGGACATCACCATGGGTTCCTTGGATGCAGCTGATGACAGTAGGGAGAGCTTCAGTAAGGTCTCACCTGTGTGCTCATGGGCAAGTTGGCAGGCCTTGGTACAACTGCGGCCAGCAGGGGTCAGGCTGTAGATGAAGTTATTCTGGTGGAATAAATTCCTCACCCGGGAAAAGAAGAGGTTTTTCAGGTCTTCGATGGCCCGGATGTAGGACTGGGATTTCCTGTAGGAAGATAGGGCAAAGCAGATGGGAAAGGGGGATTCCGGCATTGGAATGGGGATGTGGTGGAGGTTTCCACAAAACCAGAGAGGCAGTTATTTCTGTCTACACCCCTTGTCCTTTAGACAAGACTTGAGAGACCAGGTATTATGATCAGAGACCAGAGTTAAGTTGTGGTTGATCTGGAGGGTGAGTGGAGCTGCCAGGGCTTGTCCCTGGTCAGGACTCCTGAGAGCCTCACTGTTTGTGCTAGTTCATTTGCAAACCATCCTACTGGCCTTTCTAGATGGATCAGGACAAAGCAGGGAAGCTCCTGACCTGTCAGTCTGCATGCTGCTGGGGTGGCTGAAGGCACACTTCAAGATGGTGTCCAGCGTCATCAAGGAAATGTGTTTAAAGATGTCCACAGGGGTACCATTCCTGCTGAGCTCTGCCCATTTGTCCTGGGGGGAGGGACATGGACACATGTGTCTCCCAGAAGGACATATGTTGGAATCCCTGATGGCACTTTTCTCAAATCGCCTGGTCAGTGCCACCTTGTTGAACAATCCTCCAGGGATTCTCTAGAGGCAAGAGGGCTTCAGAGACATCGCTGAAGAGATGAAAGGACAACAGCAAAAGGGGGCATGTCTTCCCATAATTTCTGATAGCTATAGATCAGTTAACAGAATTTGCTGAATCATTTGCCCCTCAAAGTTATGAGCAGCTCAGGCTTGAGTTTGGGAAGTCCACCCTTCCTTGCAGAGAGCTTATGTTAATGTATTTGCTTATCACCTTGCAATCATTGTTACCCCCCACTGTATTGCTCCTGAGGCACTCCCAATTCCTGGCGCTTATGCTTACCTTCTCCTTAGTACCTTTCTTTCCTCTGTCTGTTAATCACTTATCCGATAGTTTCCCATTCTATCCCTGTGCCCTCAACCTGAATGTAGCAGTTTCTTTTTCCTTATATTAGCACTGTTGATCTTAATAAATGTCACTGACCATTAGCCTGTCGACCTGTTTTTCTGTCCATCTGCCAGGAGAACCACAAACACACCTGGGGACATGGACACAGACACCAAGGGTCAGTGACAGACATAGGTACCTGTGTCCCTTCAACAGACAAACTATGTTCTACCTGTCACAAAATATTCTAATAAACCTTCCCCCTTTCTATGGAAGTGTTTGGGTAAATTATGTACATGAAGCATCCATTTTGGTAATGTGGCAACCATTTACTAAAATACCTTATTGAATAATTATTCATAGTTTTGGCCACACCCAGAAGTGCTCAGGGGTTTCTCCTAGCTTTGCACTCAGGAGTTACTCCTGGAAGAGGTTGGGGAACCATCTGAGATGGCAGGGATTGTACCCAGGATGGCTGCATGCAAGAAATCACCCAATCCTCTGAACTAGCTCTCTGATTACTATTCATGTTTTCTATAGTTTAGTTTATTTGTAATATTAATAACAAGTTATCTGTGGTATAGATAAACTAGACAATGGTACGGTTTGTATCAAATGATACCAAAACTTTGGCCCAAGATTATAAAATGAGATGCCAATAAGGGAGTAGCAGTGATTGGTGGGGAGAAATAGTGAAATGAACTCGGTATAACTAAGGACATTGATAGACAGTCTTCATAACTTTGAAGTTGGTGAGTCAAAGTAACTGTTTTGATTATAACAATTAGCATTAACACTATTATAAATATGGGACCAAAATGACAATAATTATGTTAAATTTTGATATGAAAAATCACAAATGATGAAGGTAATCCACATCTTTTGGATAGCAATAAATTTTGTTTCTCAGGGTCACTGACCCATGAACTAAGCTTGATGAAAGAAGATACAAGTGAAGTGTACTACCCAAGTGTTTGGTAGAGAGAAAGTCAAAGGAACAGCCTTTGTAGATTCAGTTCCTTTGTTCATCTGTTCTTAGCTGACCTGGTGGGTGAGAGACCAGAGTCTTCTGGGAAGAGTCACTAACATATGGTGGTTCTGAGATGCATTTTGAACCTCCACAGGCCTCCATGGGGATCTCCATGCCAGGCAGAAACCCTGGACCTAGCCAGAGATTCAGGCACAATATACTGGGATGAACATCCTGTCATTGACTGTGACAGTACCCAGGTCAGTTCACTACAACAGGTCCAGTTGTCCAGAGACAGGCAATCACCCATCTATCAAATCAAAGATTAGAAGGGCCAATTGCTTCACGGTGACTTTCTTTTGTATGTGGAGGGCCAAATGTGTCTCATTTGGTGCATGGGTCATTTCCCAACTCATTGATTTTTAGGAACAATCACCCCATGTGGACTTGTTGTTGTATATGGACATGTCCAAAGGAGGTCTAGGGGCACTTGGACAAGAGTGGACTCTGATTGTGGTGTACGAAAATGTGTACAGGTGAGAGAAAGACAGACTTACCAGCATCACTCGCACAGAATCAGCCGTGAGTCCCACATAGGGCTTGAGGATGTCATAGTGGAAGGCTGGGGTCAGCATGCGCCGGTGCTGGAACCAGGGCTGCCCATTCAACAGTAGCAAACCGTACCCTGGGCCAGACAGGGGTGTGTTCAGAGAGAGAAGGGTGTGATTAGAAGGACTAGAGTTACTTTGCACAGAACCATGGGTAGTCCACAAAGACCCATCATGGTACAGGTAGGAGAGGATAGTACATCACCCTAGGAAGTTGATTTTTTTTAACTTACTGAAACTTGTAATTTACCATGCCATTAAGGATGTTTTATTAATAAGCATGCTCATAATTCTAATACCATCCATCACCAGTGTATCCCCCTTTCTCTCCCAATTGTCCCAATACCTTTTCATAGATCACTTCTTCCTTTGTGTTTTCTTTGGCCCTTTGTTACTTTCTTGCTGTGTGTGTTTATACAATAGCCAGGATATGGAAATAACTCAAATGCCCAGATGCAAATGAATGGTTGAAAAATCTGTGGTATAGATCCCTGGTCAATGGAAACTGAGGAAGCTAAGGCATCAGAATCCCTGCATTTTACTCAGAAGTGCCATTTTGCCCTCCCCCCCCCAAGTCAGAATTGACCCCCACCCTCAAAGTGGATATGGAAGAGTGGATAAAAATGGCTCTTTAGCCATTTCAGATTGGCTCCGCCCAGCCCGGTTGGCTGCGCTCCACAGCCAACCATTACTTCCTCTCTCCATAACTCACTATAAACATACAAAGACATCCTGTAGTGCCTAACCACACAGCCACACACAATAAACAACTCCAAACTGCAGAGGTCACAATGGTAAAGCAACACAGAAACCCACCAGGATTAGTGAATGAAGAGCTTTCCTAGAAGACTCAACTAGTAATCATGAGCTATATAACCTGTTCGATAAGATACTTAGAGGTTAATTGTTGAGGATGCATAGGAGTTCAAAGAAACAATGGAGCAAACTACCAATAAAACATAAAAGGATATGAGAGCAGAAAATGAGTAAAATACAAAACAAATAACATCTGAAAACTTTCTAGGTGAAATGAAAAACTCACTGGAGAACCTCAGAAGCAGAGTAACAACTGCTGAGGACAGAATCAATGAGCTCCGAGATGAAGTTCAGAAAATCTCAAGACAATAGCAGAAGGGAAAAGGCCTCAAAAAAAAAAAGAAACCAACAGATGACTAGAGAACTTTGGAATAAATTGAGGAGGAACAACATAAGATTCATCAGGGTCCCAGAGGGGCAGGAAGGCAACGCTGATGGAAGAACAATCAAATCCATCATTGCTGAGAAGTTCCCAGAGCTGAAGAGTTAATGCACCCAGACCCAGGAAGCCTAAATGGTACCAGATAAAAGAAATACAAATAAAAATACTCCAAGACACATCCTAATCAGAATGACAAAAACCCATGGATAGAGATAGAATACTGAAAGCATCAAGATCAAAGAAGATCATATGCAGAGGAGCATCCTTAAGATTTACAGCAGACTTGTCATATCAAACCTTCAGGGCCCAAAGACAGTGGTGGGATACAGTGAGCCAACTCAAAAAAATACCTCATCATGAATACTTTACCCAACCAGACTCTCATTTATATCTGGAGGAACAACATACAACTTCACCGATAAACAACTCAGGAACTCAGAGACTCAAAACCATTCTTTCAAGAAGAAATAAATGGCTACTTTAAGACAAGACAAGCCCCATAAACACACTAAACTCCTGCAGAACAATGGTACAAAACGCTACAACAATAATCTCTCTTAGTGTCAATGGGTTAAATTCACCAATTAAGAGAAAGAGAGTGGCAGGATGGATTAGAAAATGGAACCCAACACTGTTGCCAGCAAGAAACACACAGTCAAAGTCAATGGTTGAAAGACAATTCTTCAAGCAAGCAACTACCTCAAAAAGGCCCAGTTGGAGCTTTTTATTTTTTAAAACTAGTATCAGATGACATAAAGTACAGGCTGAAAAAGATTATAAGAAACAGCAAAGGCCTTTTCTTTCTTTTTTCTAAATTTATTTATTTATTTTAATTTTAACTAGGGGCTGGAGTGATAGCACAGCGGGTAGGGCATTTGCCTTACACGCGGCCAACATGGGTTTGATTCCCAGCATCCCATATGGTACCCCAAGCACTGCCAGAAGTAATTCCTGAGTGCATGAGCCAGGAGTAATGCCTGTGCACTGCTGGGTGTGACCCAAAAAAGCAAAAAAAAAAAAATTTTTTTTAATGAATCACCGTGGGGTACAGTTTCAGACTTGCAAGCTTTTGTGCTTACATTTCAGTCATACAATGATGGAGTACCCATCCTTTCACCAGTGCCCATTCTCCACCGCCAATAATCCCAGTATCCCTCCTGCCCTCCCCCTACTGCCCTCAAACCCCACCCCGCCTCTCTGGCAGGGCATTCCCTTTTGTTCTCTCTTTCCTTATGGGTATTGTAGTTTGCAATAGAGGTATTGAATGGCCATCATTCAGTCTATAGTCTGAATTTTCATTTGTATAGTCTGAAATATAGTATGGTCTGAAATACTTCATTTGAGGGAAGAAATGGAAGAGAGGGGCTTAATAGATAAACATAATATCTTTCATCCTCAAAAGGCTGAATACACATTCTGCTCCTATGCCTCTGGGACAGTCTCCAACATAGACCACTTGCTGACACTCAAAACATACCTCCACAAAATTAAGAGCATAGAAATTGCCTCAACTATCTTCTCAGACCAGGATGCACTGAAAGTAGAAGTTAATCAAAAACAGAAATGGAGCAACAACTCTGGCATTTAAATAGCTTCTTACTAAACAAATAGTGGGTCAAAGAGGAAGTCAAAGAGGAACTTTAAAGGTTCATGAAAACAAAAGAGAAAGAAGGGGGGTACAGCCTACCAGAACTTGTGAGATATAGCAAATGTAGTGTTAAGAGGACAGTTCATTGCTATGCGAGCATTCTTCAGGAAGGAAGAAAGGGCCCATTAAGGTTCATTACTACACAACTTAAGAAACAGGAAAATAATCAACAAAGGGAGCCCATGCAGGAGGAAGGAAATACTAAAACATAGAGTGGAAATTAATGAACTAGAATGCAAAAAAAAAAATCAACCCAAAAGATCAATGAAACCAAGAACTGGTTCTTTGAAAAAAAATAAACAAGATCAATAAACCACTAGCAAATCTCACAAACAAAGAATGAATAAACTGAATCAGAAATGAAAGAGGGTACAATGATAGCATACAACACAGAAATTTAAAGAATCATCAGAGATTACTTTGAGAATTGTTATGTCACAAAACGAGAGGACCTAGAAGAACTGTATAAATTCCTGAACTCCTATGACCTCCAAAGGATGAGCCAAGATGATTTGGAATACCTGAACAGACCTATCACCATTGAGGAAATTGAAATGATGATCAAAAGTCTTACCCAAAACAAAAGCCCAGGCCTAGATGGATTCGCTGGTGAATTCTTTCAAAACTTTAAAGAGGACCTATACTTTTCAGACTCCTCCAGAAAACTGAAGAAACAAAAATAATTCCAAACAGTTTCTGTGAAGTAAATGTCACCCTGATGTCATAAAATAAACATAGACACCACCAAAAACTAGAATTACAGGCCAATATCCCTGATAAACACAGGTGCAAATATCTCCAACAAAACTAACAAATAGAATCCAAGAACTCATCAAAAATATCATACACCATGACCACCTTGACCAAGTATGATTCACAGTGGGTACATAAGGATGGTTTAACATACCCTATCTATGGGATGGGTCCTTATGAAGGGCGGATAAAAGTCTCAGTGTATGATTTAGCCTGGCCAGGTCCTGGGTCAGTCACAGACCACCATGAGGACGCTGCTTCTTACAAGACTTTTATTCATACTGAGCCACAATCACATACGTGCTGAGCCTTTTCTGTGCCAAGTGATGACCCAGTTTCCATCTTCCTTTCTATTCCTCACACAAAGCTCCTACTGACATTTGCTTGCTTTCAAAAACTAAATCAATCTCAAAGAAGCAGAACTTATTATTCTGAAAATGCTCAAAGCCTGAGCCATTATTAATTAGTGACTGCATTGGTACCCTTATTAAAAAGACCTCCCCCTCCTTTTCATTAATACTTTCTACACTGACCCAATCCTGAAGTTGATTTTACCTCTGTAGCAGAATCTTAGGATCAGAAACACAAACTTTCCATATGCTGAAGTAAATAGAGCAGCAGGCACAGTGATAAAGTTGGTTGGCTTTGGCGGTGGGGGCATGATGGATACCTCATGGGACGGGGGTGCTCCGGCCCGTCCTTCATGCCCGACCGAGGTCACCAGTTGCCCCCCACGAGCAGCTCTGCGGCACGGCCATGGCCCCAGAAGCACAAGGACTTAATACAGAAATCCAGCAGCTTGGAGCAGAAAAGCGAACGGACTATGCGTTAATCCACGCCACCATGCCTGCCCGGATGGGAAAGGGTGTTGCTCCCTTCCGCCCTCTCCTCTCTGGAAAGAAAGATGGCGGCCGCATGGTGGAGAGCAGGTCTGAGCCAGGGGTGGGGGCGCAATGGATACCTCATGGGACGGGGGGCGCTCCAGCCCGTCCTTCACGCCCAACCGAGGTCACCAGTTGCCCCCCACGAGCGGCTCTCTGGCACGGCCACGGCCCCAGAAGCACAGAGACCAATCTCTTAATTATCTGACTCTCAATAGAAATACTTCCAGGGTTAATAAATAAAATAGCAGAAATCCAAAACCGCACGGCCGCTATCGTGGCTGCGCGACATCATTTAATTCTTGAACCCATCTGTAGAAAGCAGATCATTTCACAATGCTTTTTTAGCATGGCTGAGTTTGGGGGGGCGGTAAAGTCTAAATAATAATGGTGCAACTTTTATCAAAACAATGAAGCTAGTCAAAGTAGACAGAGTGTTAACTAGAATTCATCTACCCCACAGACATTGGGGGGGGGAGTTGGGGGGGTTTATTGGGGTTCTTCGTGGCGAAAAATAAGTATGGGTAAAGGGAATGGTGATTGATATTTGCATGACTGAGACCTAAACTTGAAAGCTTTGTAATTTTTCCCACAGCGATTCAATAAATAAATTAATTAATTTAAAAAAAAGTTGGTTGGCTTTGAAATCAGACAAGTCTGTTGATCATTGTATAATAGAAACCCAAGGACAAAATTTGTAAGTCTACAACTGTACCTCATAGTGTCTTACTAATAAAAATTTAAAAAAAAGAAATCAGACAAGTCTAGTATAATCTACAGAATATGCCATATCAATAAAAGAAAATGTAAAAACCCTCTGATCATATCAATAGATAAAGAGAAAGCATTTGACAAGAACAAGAACCCCTTCCTAATAAAAATTTCTCAATAAAATGGAAATTGAAGGAACTTTCCTCAACATAGTCAAAGCCATTTACCACAAGCTCACAACGAACATAATTATTAATGGGGAAAACCTAAAAGCCTTCTCTCTAAGATCAGGCACAAGACAAGATTGTCCACTCCCATCAGTTTTATTCAATATAGCACTGGAAATATTTGCTACAGCAATTAGATTTTTAAAAACTGTGTCCAGGGCATACAAATAGGAAATGAAGAAGTCAAACTCTCACTATTTGCATATGACACTATAATATACTTAGAAAACCCTAACGACTATATGAAAAACATTCTAGAAACAATAAATTTGTATAGTAAATGACAGGCTGCAAAACTAATACACAATTGTCTGTGGATTTCATATACACAAATAATGAAAAAGAAGAAATAGATATTTTTAAAAACCATCCCATTCACAATTGTATTTCATAAAATCAAGTACCTCAGATTCAGTTTAACAAAAGTAGTGAAAGACCATATTTATCCAAATGAGTGAATAAAAAAAAACTAGGATGCATCTACACAATACAACACTATACCTCTGATAGGGAAAATGAAGTAATGAAATTTGCTCATACGTGGATGGACATGGAGAGTATCTTGCTGCATGAAATGAATCAGAGGAAGACGGACAAACATAGAATGGTTGCGATTACTTGTGGGATATAAAAAGAAACCCAAAATAACATAGTATGTGAAAAATACCCAGAGATATAGAAATAAGGGCCAGGAGGATTCATCCATTGGTAGGAAGCTTGTCACAAAGGGGGATGAGGAGTGTAGTTAGGGGTTGTTGGAGAGGAGTACGTGGGCTGATGACCTCTGAAGACTGTCCAGTCTCCTTGGCTTTTCTGGCGTAGCCTGCAATGTAATAAATAGCCACTAGATGGCAACAGGGCTAGAGCGATAGCACAGCGGTAGGGCGTTTGCCTTGCACGCAGCCAACATGGCCGACCCGAGTTCGATTCCTCCGCCCCTCTCGGAGAGCCCAGCAAGCTACCGAGAGTATCTCGCCCGCACGGCAGAGCCTGGCAAGCTACCCGTGACGTATTCGATATGCCAGACTCAGTAACAACAAAGTCTCCAATGGAGACATTACTGGGCCCGCTCGAGCAAATCGATGATCAACGGGAGGGCCTCGAGCAAGAGAAGGGAATGAGGCCTGAATCAGAGAATTGGGTAGTGTCATGGTGTAGGCCACCTGTTATTCTCTGTCATTGACAGAAATTCTTGGCAAATCTAAATGGATAGACAGCCACTGTTTTAGATAGATGTACTTACCAATCCAGGAACTCAGTAAACGGTAGATACTGATATCTTTGGGGTCTGAAAGGGAAAGAAGAGCATTGGTTGAAGGAATAGATTGGAGTGGGTTGGAAGAAAAAGAAGAGGCATGGCTGGAGGAAGCTCAGGTCCAGCTCACTCACTGAATTGATACTCTGGAATTTCGCAGACCAGGGTCCTGTACTCATATCAGTGAATAGGGGTTTCCTCTCACCTGATCTCCCAAGTATCACCTTCATGTAATCAGGGTCATAGATCAAAATTTGGGTCTTTGTCCCCCACAGCCAGCGAGAACAAGCTCTTGGGTATTTCTCTATCCATTTTAGTAACACTTGCAGTTCATTATTCTTTTGTAACTGTTATCAGAGGAAAAGAAAACAAAATATATTAAACCCTTCATACAGTGCCTTGTTGGAGTAAAGGCTTAGTGGCAGTCCCAGGGAGGGTTCCCAGTCCAGTGAGAAGTTATGAGCACTTAGAATGTGGACGCTGATCCGGCAACTGATGGTCACGTATGAGACCAGGACAACAAGGGAGACAGACTGTGCCATGGCTTGCATGGCTTTGGATGGTCTCAGATTCTGTGTTTGGTTCTACCCTGCTGATGATCCTGCTCCCTCCTGCTCCTTCTCTGAAAAAGAGCAGCTCAGCTCCCTGCAGCTCCCTCTTTGGGAATCCTTGTGCATGAGTCTCCCTTATTTCATCCTGTCCCCAGATCCTGCTGCAGGGTGGCACAGCAGTGAGGAGCCTTTCCATCCCCCACCTACGTGCCTTTTTTTTTCTCCTCTTGACTCCAATACAGTTAAGTTAATATGTATTAATAATTACTCATTTACCGCACAAAAGTTCAGTTACAGGGTATTGGGGAGAAAGTATACATACCACCCAGTAACTTTATCACCTACAAGAAAGGGTTAGATCACTTTAAAAAATCCTTTACTAGGGGATGTGTAAATTATAGGTCAAGAGCAGGTCAACTGTACCCATGGGGCAAGTGCATCAGCAGCCTGATGGTGCTTTCAGGCTTTCTGATACCCAAAAATTGCCTCTGTGCCCCACACTCCTCAGCAGGTACTCCTCTGTGCTGGATGTGAGGTGAGGAGGATGGAGTCCTGAACTCACACCAAAGGGTTTTAAAAAATGTGAACTGGGAGGTGGAACATGGTGTTAACTGTGCAAATCAATGTCAGTGTTCTTCACCTCAGGCTATTCTGGCGGCACACTGGCACCCCAGGTACCAACAACTGCTGCGGATTTAGCACACAGTGAAATGAGGACCTGGGCACCCCTCAACATAGCTGAGGCTGTGATTTCTGGCAAGCTCAATCTGGTACAGATGATGAATTGAGTGACTGGTCAGGGAAGCATCTAGAAGCCCTGTTTTGTGGAAAGAGCTGAGGCTGTTCAAAAGGTCAGAGAGACTCAGGGAGACACAGCTATTGCCCTGTAAGTGCAGGACCGCTGCTATACCCCAGGAGGGAGAGTCTGATAAACCTGAGCCACCAGCCCCAGTTTCTAAGAGCAGAGAGTTCCCTGGGCTGGGGTGGATGACCCGAGAGGGGAGCTGGCTTCCCCGAGACCCAGAGAGGTCGTGCAGCAAGACTTTCCAACGATCTGCTGACCACCACACCTTCTGAAGCCTCCCCCAGTCCTCCCGCTCACCTCCCTGCTCCTTCCTACCTCCTTGTAGTGCCCGAAGAGCCAGTGGGAGGGAGGTGATGGGAACTCTCGGACAGCCTTGAGCAGCCACTGGCGGTGCAGGTAGAGCTGGACAGCCTTGAGCAGCAGCAGCACCAGGCCGAGCAGGAAGGCCACTTGCAGGAGCCCAGAGAAACTGCCCAGGGATCTGGTGGGGCTCAGCGCGGAGACACTCATGGTGCCGTGACTGCAGGATGGCTGGCTCAGCCTGACTGTGCCTGATCACCCAACCCACATCAGTGTCAGGGAAGGGTGGCCCCACCCACCTTGGGGAGGTGACTGCTGGGGGCAGGACTCATAAATTCTGACCTGGCAGGGGCAACTGTGTCTGATTGCCAGGGCTGGAAAATGAGGCTGCAAATGGAGGCAGTTGGAGCAGGGGCTCAGGGCAATGTTTAGGGATCTGGCGCTCTGGAGGTGGGTGTGCTGTAGTGCACGGGAAATGTAAACCAATCACCTCGGCAACAAAACTGACTAGAGGAGTATCTGAAAAAGAGGGAGTTTCTTGGCTACAGTGATAATGGCCTGCACACTCCCTGCCCCTCTTTGTGGGAAATTATCCTCCTAACAAAACCCCTTAGGCTGGGATAGTTTCCTGGGTAAAACAAGTTTCGAGACATGGGTAGCAAACTTTTGGCAGGTCAGAATAGAATAGGAATTGTTGACTTCGCTCTATACTTTAGGGTACCAGTTGATTGACTAAGTGAAATATTCCAACCTCTGTTAGATTTTCATGTGCTTGTTAACTGTCCTTAATGAGTCACATTTTGGGAGCCAGAGTAAGGGGGCAATATTGTATTGAACAAATGTGAACCTGTGAGCTCACTCACTCATGGACGCTCAGATGATTTATTTTTAGTGAGGGGATGCAGTTTTGGCCACCCCCAGAAGTGCTCAAGGATAACTCTTAGCTCTGCACTCAGGAATCACTCCTGGTGGACTCAGGGAATGCCAGAGATCAAACCTGAATCCCCTTCAAGCAAGACAAGCACCTGACCCACGGTATTGTCTCTGGCTCCTGCTAAGGTGATCCTGAAGTAGTGGACAATTCTTGTGTGTTTGTCTGTCTCATTCTTTTTCTCTCACTTCTTTTTAATTTTTTATTAAGACCGTGATTTAAAAAGCTATTCCTAGTTGAGTTTTAGGCATACTATGTTCTATCTCTCATCAGGCCCACCGTCACAGTCAACTTCTCTCCACCAGCGTCCCCATGCTCCTTTCCACCCCACCTTTAGCCCCCAGCCCACCTCTTTGACAGGCACATTTTAAGTTAGATTGCTGCGGTTTAGATCTCCTGCGTTCAGTGTTTTTGCCTCCGCAGTTTGTATATATAGCTATACTACTCTTCTATGCAACCCATGTACTCAAGGCCCTTGTCTCCTGCCCCCTGTTACTTCCTCTCTGTTTCTCACGCTAAACCCCTCAATTTCTTTCCTTCTCTATCTTCCTTCCTGTATTCTGGGGTCAAGTGTTATGAGTTATCCTCCCTTTAATATGTTGCATTCTTATTTCCAGATAGTGTACTGGTTACCATAGATAACCAATAGTGCCCAGTGTTTGGTCTTCTTCTGGCTTACTTTACTTAACATATCCTCCAGTTCTATCCAAGTTGCAGTGAAATGTATTATTTTATCATTCCTTGCAGCTGCATAATACTCCATGTTTACATATACCACAATTTCATAATTCACTCATCTGCCACTGGACACCTAGGTTGATTCCATATTGTAGCATTAAAAGAGATTTTTGGTATAATCTTGACAGAAGATTATTGGCAGAAGTGAGTGTTCATGAATGAATCTTGGCTCACTGCAGTATTGCCTCTGGATCTTGTACCAGGCAGAATTCACGGGGCAGGGGGGGGGGAGGATTGGGGAGAGGGGGGAAGCCCTCAGACAGGAGCAGGCATTGTCCCTCCACCTGCCCCCTATAAATCCTAGCAACTGCAAACTCCAAACCCAATGAAAAACCCAGGGATATGGGGTCAGTGACTGCAAACTGGTTGGGGAGGGGATCAGGGACGGGTCACTCCTTCTCATCTCCCAGCCCCTACGGGGTCCTTGTTGTCACACCAACGAACTGCCTCATGGTGCCATTTAAGCACATTAATGGCCGTGATCCAGAGACTCACAAACCAATCTCAAAACTGAGCAGCTCGCTGCAGAGATTCCTCTGGTCCCAATTACTTAAAATTTTAGAGTTCAAGAAGCACGCAGCTGCTTTCACGGCCATGCAACATCTCGTGCTATTCATCACTTATCACTTAAGTCACTTAACTTCCCGTTAGTCGTCGATTTGCTCGAGCGGGCGCCAGTAACGTCTCCATTTGTCCCTGTCGCGTGCTAGTGTAGCCCAATGGCATCTCTTCGCTCCGGGAACATGGAGGGCCTCAAACCGATCGTTCATGACCTTGACAAAGAAGTCTGACCATCTGGTAGGTGGGCGGCCACGCGGTCTCTTGACATCCCGTGGAATCCAATCAGTAACAGCTCTAGTCCAACGGTCGTCTTTAAATCTCATTACGTGACCAGCCCATCTGATTTTCGACACCTTGGCAAATGAGACAGCGTCCCTGATCCTTGATCGTCGACGGATGTCAGAACTCCGGATTCGTTCTCTCATTTGAGTGAAACGTGATATTCCAAGCATAGCTCTTTCTATTCTTCTTTGGGAGACCTGAATGGCGTTCTCATCTTGTTTGCGTAGGGCCCAGGTCTCTGAGGCATATGTTAATGCAGGAAGAACAGTGGAATCAAAGAGATGTGCCCGGAGCCGGAGGTTCTTCGTCCTCTTAGCTATTTCTTCGACGTTCTTGAAGGCGTTCCAAGCCGCTCTCTTCCTCCTGCGCAGCTCGGGTGCCAGGTCATTTGTCATGTTGACCTCTCGACCTAGGTACACATAGCTGTTGCATTCGGAGATGGTCGTTCCATTGAGAGCGAATGGGGCGTCAGGAACAAGGCTGTTTCTCATAAACATTGTCTTCGTAAGATTCAGCTGTAGTCCTACCTTTCCACACTCACGGTCAAAGTCGGCCAGCATTTGTGCCGCTTGGCTGATGTTTGGTGTTATTAAAACAATGTCATCAGCAAAGCGGAGGTGGTGTAGTTGCCGACCATCTATCTTCACTCCCATTCCTTCCCATTCCAGTCGTCGCATGATGTTCTCGAGGGTGGCACTGAAGAGTTTTGGTGAAATGGTATCACCCTGCCGCACCCCTCTCTTGACATCAACGATCACTTCTTTGTAGAATGGTGAGATCCTGGTAGTGAATCCGCAATACAGCTCACGGAGGATCCTGATGTATTGGGCTTGAATGCCCTGATTGGCTAGGGCTTCAATGACCGCTTCCGTCTCAACAGAATCAAAGGCCTTCTTTAAATCAATGAACGTTAAGCAGAGCGGCATCTTGAACTCCCGAGAAACCTCAATGAGTTTGATTATCGTGTGGATATGGTCGATGGTGCTGAATCCTTTGCGGAACCCTGCTTGCTCACATGGTTGTCCTTCATCTAGTGTTCTGCCAATCCTATTCAGGATGACTCGAGTGAACAACTTGTAGATGACAGACAATAGGCAGATCGGGCGATAGTTGCCAATGTCATGGATGTCTCCCTTCTTGAACAGTAGTACGGTCCTGCTGGTTTTCCATTGAGATGGAACCTTGCATTCAGACAGGTAGCGAGTGAAGAGCCGAGCCAGTGTATTGATGAGTACTGACGGCAGGTTCTTCAGGTGTTCAGGTCTGACCTTGTCTGGGCCGGGTGCTGTTTGCTTCTTTACTGACGAAATGGCGTGTCGGATTTCGGAAGGGAGAACGTTGGGAACGACATACCCATCCTGTGGAATTTGGTATGTCGGCAAGTGGACATGGCTATCGAAGAGATTTGAGTAGAAGTCATGGATAATCTTCTCCATTGCCGTTCTGGAGGATGTGATGGATCCATCAGGACGTCGGAGGGCAGTCATCTTGGTCTTATAGTTGGCGAAGGACAGGCGGGCCTTACCAATACTTTTCCCGGCTTCTGCCGCATCTACCAGTACTTCTGCTCTTCTCTCTTTGAGGTCTTCCTTGATCGCATCTCTGCACTGCTTTGCAAGCTCGGACGTTAGCTTGCGGTTGCCTGAGGCATGCGCCAAACCACGCTGGCGAATTAGCTCAAGAGTTTTCGAAGATAGGCGACTTTTTGTGGCTATCTCTCTCTTGGCGTTCCTCGCACATTCATGGAGGTGCTGAACCAGTCGATCGTATTCCTCGTCAATGTTGTCAACAATGGCATCTTCCCATGTTGCCGCAATAGTACCAAAGAGTTCCCAGTTGGTGGTCGTTCTGGGAGTTCTCTTTTTGAACTTTGCAGCCCTTTCTCCCCGCTCTGTGAAGTAGAATTTTGCACGAAGGAGACGGTGGTCCGATCCCGTTCGAAATTTTGGGACAACAGCGACATCAGTCAGGCAAAACCGTCGATTGAATATGATGTGGTCTATTTCGTTGTGGAATCGTCCACCGGGAGACTCCCATGTCCATCGTTTAGATTCTGCCTTCTGGAACTGTGAGTTACCATGAATGGTCTTGGTCGACATGATGAACTCAGACAGTCTCTCACCCTGTTCGTTCCATTCTAGGCCATGGGTTCCGATGTGAAGTTCTTCAGCTGATCTTCTCGGTCCTATCTTGGCATTAAAATCACCCACAATGATCTTGTAGAAGGTGTGGTCTTCTTTATAGAATTTCTCTAGCTCCATGTAGAACTTCTCGATTTCTCTTTCATCATAATGAGATGTTGGTGCGTAGACAACGAAGATAGAAACTGCAGGCAGTGAGCCACATCTATTCAAATGTAAACGTCCGATTCGGGTTGTTAGGCATTCGAATGAATCAATGCTCTTGGCCAAGTTTGTGTTGATAAGGACACCGACGCCTCCAACACCTCTTTTATCGCATGTTCCGAGGAACAATTCTTCTCCAGTGTCGAAAACGGCATGGTGAGATTCGTGTCTTCTTGTCTCGGTCAGACCAATGATGTCGTACTTGATCATTCGCGCTTGTACCATCAGGTCCTCGATGGATGCATCTGATGCTAGCGTACGTGCATTGAAAGTACAGACGATCATTTTTGTCTTCCTTCGTTGTGGCAGCCTAGGTCGGCCTTGAGATTTTGTCGGCCTCTCCTTTCTCATCCTTCTCAGTGCTGCCATGTCGGTGAAGCCTTCAGGGTCAGGTGAATGAGACCA